GTCCCGCCGCCGCGGCCCGGCCCGGCCCGGCCCGGCCCGGGGGAAGCAGCGTGTCCCCCTCGAGCCTGCGGCCGCGGGCTCGGCCTCTGCCCCCCGCACGCGCAGGCTGGAGCCCGCAAGCGGGAGAGGGCTCCCTGTTCCGGCCGGCTCGCTCTCCTTCCAGCCCTGCGGGGAGCCACAAGGACCAGGGGCTGAGCCGCCGGGCCGGGGGAGGCCGAGATCCCCTTCCCAGGGGAAAAAAAGGCCCTGGACTTCTTTTTTGACACGTCCGCGCAGGCGGGGCAGCGGGCAAAGCAAACCAGAGTCCCCTGAGCGGCTCTCCAATAAAACGTTTACAGCCCAGCAAACACAGAAATTCCCCGAGCCGCTGGGTTTCCCCAGGAGCCAGTAAAGGCCGCGTATACTCCGCCAGTAAAAGTGTCATTGGAGCCGGTGCCAGCAGCCCCTCGCCGCTGCCTCTCCCCCGAGGCGGAGACTGCGAGAAGCCCCCGGTGCCGGGGATCGCTGGTTGCAAAGGTCACTGCTATCCCTAAGCAGCGCCTGTCACAAGCCCGGGGTAGCCGAGAGGTCTCGGGGAGCTCCGGGCCCGGCGGAGCCGGCGGCTGATTTATGGCAGCCTTGCCCCGGCAATGCAGAGATCAGCGCGGATTACCCGAGCGGCGCTCCCCGCCGCCTGTCAGCAACGGCCCGTGGCTCCTTTCCCCAAGGCCCCGGGTGAGGTCCGGGGAGGAGGGCCCGGGGTCCCTGGACCTGAGCGCATGGACCGGGGCTCATCCCGCCTTAGGTTCCCGGCGGGGGGGGGGGGCGGCCCCTTTCCCAGGACGTGTGTGCGGGGGTCACGGACGAGCACCCGCCGGTGCTGGACGGCAGCCCCACGTCTGCACGCAGCTCAGGCGCGGGATGCCCGAGGGCCCACTACACGAGGGGACCCGCGGGCCCTTTTCTGTTCAGAACCAGCTGAGCCAGACGAGCCACCCGCAAGTGACAGGGCCAGGCCGTGCGGGTCGGAGGGCCGAGCCAGGATCGGGCCCTGGAGGTCGGAGATATAAGCATCCCTCGGGCTCCGGGGAGCAAAGGACCGGGGCCGTTTGCAAGTGCAAACAGCGCGAGGGAACCAGCGCAAAGGGCTTCAGATCAGATTCCTCTGTAGACCCGAGGGAGGCGGCCTGAGGGCTGCGGGGTGCCCAGGACCCCCCCGCCGTCCCCCCGGGGAAAGCCGCGTCCCCGGGGCGCAGGGAGACGAGCCGGGACAGACGAGCTGCGCCTAACACAGGGCACGGCAGCGCGCGGCAGACCCGTTCACTTTCACCCTGCAGGGCGCTGAGATCCTGCTGTCCCTGCGGCCAGGGCTTGGCCAGGCTCCCCGCCCCCGCGCGGCTTGTTCTGAGACGGCGGCGGAGGCGCGGAGCGACCCAGCCACGCACCCGGGGCCGGCGGGAGGCGGGAGGGGAAGAGCCCCGCCAGGCTCCGAGCTCGGGAAGCCCCGCTCCCGCATGCCCCGCGGTGGCGGCTCGGCTCGGAGGGGTTGCACACCTCCTTCCCCGAGCTGCCTGGTTGCACAGCGGCCGATCAGCTCTGGCTGAAGCCTCGCCCGGCCCCAGGGGGGGCTGAGCCCCCACCGCCACCTGCGGCGTGTGGGCAAAGCCGGGCTCCCGCGCTCTCTCCGGGCTTCTGCTGCCGCTTCTTGCTTCTCAGAGCTTTGATTTGAAGGGGGGCGGGGCAGGGGGGTAGCGGCGGGCCGGG